GTCGCTGTCACTTCAAGGTTGATTTTTTTAGAGCTTATTCACTGGAAAAGCAAACAAGTTTCTAACATTTACAGACTTTACGAGGGAATACAAAAAGGCAAAAAGTAAAAAAGGATCTATGTCACTGTCTTTTCTAGTGCTTCTTGTGTCTCTGTCAAATTTCAGCCATGCATTTGATTTGCATGTCACTGATTAGCAATTCCCATGTCACTAGTTTTCAGGGTCATGTTGCTTGTCACTTCTACCCCTCGGAAGGCCTCAATTATATCTATCTTGATCAACGATAATAACAATATATATACAGCTGTTTTGAGAAAGGTTGCCTGTCAAAAGCATGGGTAATTATTGCCAAAAGGTACTACAGTAGTTATCATGTTATGGGTAGTGGTAGTTCAGCATTGCTTAATCAAACTCTTTGGTGTTTCAGAGTGAAGGAAGGAGAAATTAGAAATGCACATTCACGATTTTTCCTTCTACCTCTTAAAAACTGTGAACTTTGACCAAACTAGATAAACTAATGCTCCCTCTCATACTTTTCAAGATTTTTGTCTATACTTTTATGCTTTGTAGGAGTCACATAACCTTTCTCAAACTAGCTGTATCCATGTTCCATCTGTCGAAGGTTACAAATAACTAATACACGGTAATTGCAGTTGCTATCAATTCTTTCAATCAGTGTCTATGAATCTGTGTCTATGTGTTGATCAAACATAAACAACGAGTGCTCTAATGAGACACAAGTGTTTCACTAGAATATACATCACAGGCTGGGGTGGACCCAGGATTTTTCTTAGAAGGGGGTGAACCACTAAGGAATGGTGTAACTGAGTTGTAGTTGTTGTTGTTGTTTCAGAATACCAGTTATATTACAAAGCCACATGTCATCTGGGGGGGGGGGTGTACACCCCTACACCCTCCCCCTAGATCCACCTCTGCATCACTCGTAAAATTCATATGAAACTACGTCCACAACCTGAGTGGTTATATATTCTCCATATTCTCACTAGTGGGATATCAATGACATCATTTCTCACTTTCCACCACCGTTTGTATAAACTGTCAGTTTGTCGGTATAAAAACAAGAAAATTACACGGTGGCTTGAAGATATGCATTTTACTGTATATAAATATTTTACACAA